GCTGTTCAGTCCACCATTGCCCGTCCACCATTGCCCAACGGGAAAAGAGGCCTGTGCCAATACACATGGAAATGATGGAGGCCACAAGCTGGGTTCATAGGAGCTCAGAAGCAGCCGCCTGCATCGACCGCAGGGAAAAGGGCGGGGGGAGGAGGGGGCAAAGACTGGCCATCAACCTGCAGCACCATGATCACAATCTGAACATCAATGATCGATTAGAAACAAACAATCGGGATCTTGTCTGCCAGGCCCAGCATTCCCTGACTCCAGACTCGGTAAAAAGGCCCGCTCAGCAAAATAGCTTCAGGGGCAGTAGCGGCTGCTTTGATGCAAGAAATGACAGACTTTGCTTTAGATTTCACCCATATCCCACAACACTCCATCTGACATGGGCCTCACAAGTTTTCTTCAACCACCGTCTTCACCAAAATAGAATGCCCGGTCATTATAGCTGTTTTGGAGGGCACTTTCAGTCCAGACGCAGCTATATGACCGTGCCTTCTACTCAGGTGAAGATGATCGGCTTGACAGCCCAGGGATTGGCTATATATGGTTCAATAATATGGTTCATAGATCCGCACAGCGGCCCAAAATCCTCCTCCATGCAAGCACGGATTCAAACCGGCGACCTCAGCCTCAGGAGCCAAGTATCTTATCCACTACAGCCAGGACACGGTGTCAAAAGTGGAACCATACCGGTCGTGATATCCACCCCACCCCTGCAAGGCTGTAGTGTTCAACACAACTCACACCACACACAACACCACACGGACACATCACACGGGCGCGGCAACACTTTGTTGCTCCACTGCAAAAGACCCTTCCATCGGTACTTAGCCCGAACACCTCACATGGGGTACTTTCCCATTGGTTAACGGGTGCTTCCATCATCAAAGCTGTAGAGTAAACGGCCATTCGAGGGCGGCTGGCATATAGAAGAAGTGGTAGTTGCAGCATGCAAGCGTAGGCAAGAGGGTGCATGTGACAGATTGTGCACAGACATTAATGCAGAGGTAATCAGCTGCCAGTTGTCAAGGGCATGGGTGCCTTCAAGACGTACTGTCTTCCGCTGAATGGAACGCACCCTCCTAATGACTGCATCCGACAAGAAAAATAGCTTATATTCATTCATGGGCAGAGTGCATTCTACTCAGGTGACGAAGGTAACCTGAAGCTTATATCCATTCATCGTTACTTCGCATAACATGAAATCTAACTTGGTGGCGATGACGGTTGTTTGAGATCTCACCTGGACTTAATAGCAGGAAACTTGGTACCCAGTTTGCCACGTCGAAATCTGCAATTGTAACTTTGCCAAGGGACCAATGGGGAGGGACGACAAAGAGCAAGAACCCGACAAGTCCGCCAATCACAATGCCGAGGATCGACACCTGGCCCCTTGTGTTGAGGCCGCATCGCCGCAAAAGCCACATAAGAACAAGGACTCCCAGGAACGCTGCAGCACCACAAACGAAGAACAAAAGTCTCTTTCCTTCATGTCAGTTGAACAACGCATTCGCTCCCAAATACTACAAAACTGCAGTTTGAATTCCCTTTCTTATCTTCAAATTGCCGATGAATGGACAGACAGTCACTGCCAAATCCCAATAGGCTGCGATCTTCCCAGTTCGGCATGCTTATGGCTGAACTATTAGGCAAGTCCATGCTGTGTCCTTGCAACATTAACGCCCGTCTACACCGCCGTTGGTGGCCGTAAAAGATGCATTGTGTCGATTCTGCTGGTATTAAGCCTACTGCAATACTGAACACGCTGCTTGGCTGCGATCAAGTTCAAACTTCGTAAATTTCCCTTTTTTAGACAATGGCAATGAATTCCAACTATGGCAACAAAGTTACAACTTCAAGGCACTCACTAGTTTAGAGAACTCCAAACACAGCGTAAGGCTGTGAAAAGAGACTGAATTTCTTGTCTTTACCCAGTCCTCGTCGTCAGGATAAGTTCTGCTGACTTGCACAAGCCTAGTGAATCGAGAGCTCAACAGGGTACGTCCCTTGCATGCCAGCTAACCTTGGCGGCCCCGCAAATCGCCATTCTCTCTCACATTCATCCCCCCATCAACGCTTTCGCCCAAGCGACAATTCATGAAGGCCATTTTATCCCCGTGAATTTAGGGTGAATATAAAGAAAAGAGGGTAAATGGCAGCGACATCAGACATGTCAAGCTCCACAGTAAAAACATCCCATTTCCTCCGGGTTCACTAGTGAGTCGTGACAACATCGCATGAATAGCCCAGCTGCATATTTTCTGTGTACCATAGGTTTACCATCTTACGACCCACTGCACTTATCAGAATCGTATTCAATTTGGGGCCAGAGTCGTTGAACACTAGGTTTCTAGGGAGTGCTCTCAAACTGTGCACGGAGTTCTCCGGACTGCTCTAGGGATGTTCTAGGAAGTGCTGCAGACAGTTTCGCAGGGAGTGCTCTGGGAACTGTGTTCTAGGGAGTGCAGTGGGGACTGTATTTCTCTTTCACTTAGGTTTTCTGCGAAACATCGAAATCTCGATGATAACCAAAACAACTCACGATACATGTCTTCCTGTGTGGGTGCACGTCATCAAATCCGTTTGTACAGACCTGTGGCATTACCCTTTTCATTCTGTGGTCTTGCACAGGTAAGCACTGGAAGGAAAACGGAGGGTCCGCTTTTTGGCTTAGACTCGCCGACTCCTGAATCTGGCAATCCACTTTTTCGCTTAGACTCGCCGACTCCTGGATCTGGCAATCCACTTTTTCGCTTAGACTCGCCGACTGCTGGATCTGGCAATCCACTTTTTCGCTTAGACTCGCCGACTCCTGGATCTGGCAAACCAGGAGCGCTCTGGAAACTGTTCTAGGGAGTGCAGTGGGGAGCGTACTTCTCTTTCAATCATTTGTCTTCCTGTGTGGATGCACAGTATAAAGTCCATTTGCACCGACCTGTGTGATTATCCTTTTCATTCTGTGGTCTTTCACAGGTCAGTACTGGAAGGAACACGGAGGGTCCGCTTTTTGGCTTAGACTCGCTGACGCCTGGATCTGGAAAACCAGATTTGCTCAGTGCCATTTACCCTTCATTTTATTTCTCATAGTTATTCATAATTTCAAACCACTTTGGGTCTTCTTGTCAATGGGATTGCCGTATGACTGGAGCGTTGTGCCATCCCTCTATCCATTACACAGTAGTGAAGCTCGGCAGCAAACATGTGGCTTTATGTTCGGCCTCTCTTCGATGATAAGCTGCTTGACCAGCAATCGCCAGCGAACATGACATAGCCCTCAGTTTGTCCCGTCATTGATTCTAGCTTCTTGCCAATCATCGATTGACCCTACTTGGAAAGTTAAAAGTAGGATCAGTTGGCTGGGCCGTCCATCATACGTAAGGGATGCCAGGCCCGGTTCCTGGCTTGTAATGGCATAGTTTTGCTTGATGGTACAACGTAATCAAATAAATAGTCGTAGAAGTAATAAAAACAACTACCTCCGAGACATCCGTTAAAATTGGAATGGTGCAGAGAAGATTAGCGTAGCCCCTGTACAAGGATTCATTATTAAAAAATAATAATAATAATAATAATAATAATAAATTGTAGGAATAAACGCTTCACCATGGTGGGCCATTTTACACCTACACCTGTTCTCCAGAGCCCCGGGTCACCGTTCCACTCACACTGAGGTAGAAAAAAGAAAAGAATCTAAGCACGTGTGAATGCAGGAAGTCCATCAATGGGGGCGCATGAAACATTTCGGCGATTACACAAGTTTTGTAGTTTTTATTATTATGTGCACATCAAACATTTCGGCGATTACTCAAGGTTTGTACTTTCGATTATCATCCGCTTCATCTAAGCCATGTTCAGAAAAGTACAAAAGAATCAGTTTCATTTCTTGCACCCTCCCTTCACTCGGTGATTTTGATCGCCAAGCCTGACTGGATTCTACCGCAACAGATGAACACGGTACAACCAGTCAGGTAGAGCTGCAAAAACCGGGGGCGGGGGGGGGGAGAGGGGGGGGGGAGAACACAAGGTAGATATTTTACTCTTTTGACCAGGTAAATTTTTGAATAGCTGCGAACCTATTTGGACAAACGGAATTTCAATTAGTCAGCCATCGAACCAAAGTGGTCCGCTGGAATTTCCTTTTTAAGTTTTTACTAGTTTTTAGCCCATTATCAGAACCACTTTAAGCAGCAGATAGAGGTTAGGAGATATGACGAGCATTTGGACACAAAGATTTAACAGTTTGGACGCTTGATCTTGTTAGGCAGCATGATTTAACAAATTAGTATTGGCAATAACCGATTTCGTCCCACAATCAACCGATTCGAGAGTCTACACAGACCTCATTTTGACGGGCGAAAATAGTAAAATACCAAATTAGCAGAGCAGTTTCGCAGGTTAGTCACATGCTTCTGAATCATGAGCCTGCTGCTTTTCCCTTAAACTGTAGATCTGGAACCTCGCCTCACATGTCTAATCCATCCTTGGCACATCCCCGCAGTGATTACCAAAGGGCTGGAGTGCTAGGCACGTGAACGAACAAGCTACGCGGAGGATGCT